TGCCTGATCCCAGTATACTTCAATTCCTTGTTGCTTTGCAAACGCTGCGAGGACCGTGCTATCAAGGCTCCTATTTACTGAGTACTTGTGCTCATCAATCCTTTTCTTTAGGTTCCGCATAGTTGCTCCTATATATACTAGGTCGGAGTTAAATCTATGGTCCTTCATAGGTATCGAGTACACTCCTGTCATGTTATTACGTTCATATCTTTTCTTATCATTTCTTAGGAGCTTATATACTGTAGGATTACGTCTATAAATTATTTTTACATTTCTATTTCTGGCAACTTTCTTAATAACTTTATTTAGAGACGGATGGTAATTAATTACAATTCTTTCCCTTAGTTCATTTGCTTTTTGTTGCCGGTTCCGTTTTTGCATCCTTGTTATCAGTGCATCGATTGCCTTTCTTCCATATCCTTGTTGTTCAGCTAGTGTTGAGTTAAATTAAAATAAAAACAATGTAGACAAAAAAGTTTAGTAGTGTAATATGGAAATATTTTACGATAGTAAATGAATTTTGCATGATAAAATTTTTGCAATGTTAATGTGCCAAAAATGTGATTATAAGAAATAAAAAGTGATTTGAATTGAAGTTATTAGTATTTTATTGCTACTTATCTTTAAAATTTCATATAAGTAATGAAATTCATTAAGATAAAAGATCCGTTAAAGATCTGCTAAAAAGTAACAGATATGGATACGAATACGGATTTTTTTTTTCTCTCAGATATCTGCGGATATGGATATCCGGCACATCACTACTAACAATATATTAATAATAATAATAGTTTAAGTTAGAACTTCTTGCAAGAGATAACTTATAGAAGTTTTGATTTATAAAAAGTTTTCTATATAAAATCTCATAAATACAGTATGAAAAATATTCTAATGAGTAAGTTAAGGCCAAGAATATTCTATTTTACAATATTGAATACCAATTTAAATTTATATTTGCAGAAAAGCATGTACTTTCCTTTATCGAAACTTCGGCGCTCGATTCTACAAATGTCGAAGCAGCTTTTCAACAAATATTAACAGGTATTTAGAAAACTGGGAACAGTTTTTTAAAATAATTATGAAGTTCTTTAAATTTTTACTTTAATTTAAAAAAAACAAAGTAGAGAATTACTTGTTTGTACAAAAGCAAAAATGTGTGTGTGTCTGTCTTGTTGGCAATATTGTTCAAAAGCAACTTCTAGTTTGCCAGTTTGTAGGTTCAAATCTTGTTTGAGCACAGCTATTTACATTTGTTGGATTTTAAAGAATTTATCATCTTCTTCGTGGTGCCATATCAGAGTTCTGACGTCAGTGACACCCAGCACAGATTAGTAAGTAGTTAATAATATGCCAAGGTGTTACTAGGGAAGGTTAGTACCCAGAGTGGTTTCCCGTTTCCTTCTCTGGGGCACGATGTTATGTGAGGGGAAAGAATGCCTTCCGGGAGGACTTTTATGAGGAACTGGCCTCCTATTTCGGCAAGGAGAAAACCCGGAAAACTCCAAGCAGCCAGCCTGTCCGATTGCGGCGCGAACCCACGACCGAACTCTCAGTGTTTAGGGTACGAAGACTGCTCGGCCACTGGTGGGCTAAAGAATTTATGGGAATGGCAATTGTAGCCATTGGAAGTAGTGGCATTATGCTTACTCAAAATTGCTTGCATTATAGTAGTAAAAACATTTAATGCTGTTGGCTGTTTTCTATAAATATTTTAGTATAATGATGGAAATTATTTGAAGTTTATCATCTTAATTTAATCAAANGAGTGTGCTCGATCTGGCGAATATGGTTGGTGTGATAGCACGTTCCATCTAAGTTATAACAATTTATGACAAGTTACCAAACTTGTGTGAAATTTGACATTATTGTGGTAAAACACTACACCTGTTTTGTTGATCAATTCTGGCCGCCTTTTCTGTTTGATGATGATATTCAATTTGTTTACTCGATGGCAGTACACTTTCGAATCAATTGTTAAATTGTCCGGTAAAAGCTCCAAAAAAAAGCTACCGTTCGAAACATCCAAGCATGCTGCCATTGCTGTTAATTGGTGTTGCCAAATCGTTGGATTCCCATAAATTTAGTGAGAAATTGAAATGGTTGTGCAAAATTTAGTGGGAAGTACAGTATTTTCGGTGAGAAATTTTAGACCGATTTTTATATTTATGCAGCATTTTGTTATAAGATACTAAACACTCTTTTCAACGGCCTAAGATGATGAGCCTAACAATATTTAATATTGTGCCCAAACTCTAGTATTAGAGCTCAATATCATGCTATGTTTAATGGGAAGGCGTTCAAATTTAGTGGAAACTGAAACCTATCTATGACCTGGCATTGGTTTCAGTAATACCCGACAGTCAACTACTGTCGGATTACTGGATGTGTCACACTAGCAAACGGCTGGATAACTGAGCTAATAACAAGTGTGATGTAAAAAGTATTGTTGTGACACTATTTACGTTTTGTCATGGATATAAAGACGATTTATTTTAAATTCATTTGTTCTCTGTTATATTGAGTATGAAATCTGTTATTTGTCACAAATTAAATGATTTTTGGGCTGATGGCATGACCAAACAAGTTGTCTTCAGATTGTCAGTCTGTTGTCGACAATGCTGTTTAAAAATTTCATCAAATTTGATAAGATCATTTTTTAAATTTTTCAGTTGTACTTATTGGAGATTCTGGAGTAGGAAAAAGTAATCTCCTCTCCCGTTTTACAAGAAATGAATTCAATTTAGAAAGTAAAAGCACAATAGGAGTGGAATTTGCGACAAGAAGTATTCAAGTAGATGGTAAGACCATTAAAGCTCAAATTTGGGATACTGCCGGTCAAGAAAGATACAGAGCAATTACTAGTGCGTAAGTATATATTAACTAATATATTTTATAAAAATTAAACAGGTATAAATTATCTTTACTGATGTTCCCTGCAATTAGTTACTATAGAGGTGCGGTGGGTGCCCTTCTGGTGTACGATATCGCTAAACACATAACGTATGAAAATGTCGAACGTTGGCTAAAGGAACTCCGAGATCACGCAGATCAAAACATAGTAGTGATGCTGGTCGGCAATAAAAGCGATCTCAGACATTTACGAGCTGTGCCGACCGACGAAGCCAAAGCTTTTGCAGGTAAATTTTCAATTATTTATAAATTTGAGAGAGATGAAATTTTGTCAGTTTGATAAATATTTAACAAAAATTTCTATAATCACCTCTTTCATTTTAATTTTATCATCTTTTATTAATATTCACTAAACATCAGAGTCATCCTCTTTTAGGCTACTTGTCTTTCACTCTGTAGTAATAATTCTATTTAAAAGACACGAAAAAATATTCCTTTTACGAAAGAGTTGTTTTATTATATTTTTTTTAAATGTAATTTGTGATTAAGCTTTTAAGCATTTATCGCAAGTTTTAGATTAAATTCAAATACAAATTTATTTGGAAATAGTCTCCATTGTAATGCTTCTAAAAATTATTGTACAGTAGATTGCTATAGAAGGTTGCTATAACATGTTATAGCAACCTTCAGCAACTCACCACAATATAACCAATAGTCTCGATCTTTCTTCTGTAGAAGTAATGCTGCTTTGTTATTGATGTAATGATGTCATAAACAGTCTAATCTTGATAGAGCAGCCTTTTGGCACATTGCAGGAACAAATCCAAAAGCAAAAAATGAACCACTGTTTGAATACAATCTATTTTCTTTTCATAAGAATTCCTATTATAGTCAATTAAGTCTACAAAAGCTTTGTTCCAGTTGCAACATATGACTGGATAGCTGATCTTTTTCTTTTTATTATTATTATTCGTTCCAATAGACAACACAACTTATCCGGGTGGCTAGTCTGAAATTACAGGGTATGCAATTAACAATGTGTGTTTTAGGGTATCAAGTGGCAAGAACTTTTATGACAAGATCATTTGCCAAACAAATTGTATTGGACAACAACCTGAAAAAATTAAATATGAAAAACCCATTAAAATTTCTCCCAAAACATAATAGTTGCTAATCCTTTCAATGGTTGCTGTAACATGAGTCTATTGTAAGTTTAAAGAACATTAAGTGTGATCAAAGTATCAAGATTGAGTAATTTCGGAAAGGAGATTTGCCAGCTCTTGGAAAACAAAAATTCATGGGGACTAAATACTGTAGGTGGGAATCTGTGATTGAGAATCTATCAAACTGTTCTAATATAAATGCCAAATATGCAGGGATGTAACCACAATATAATGCCAGTTTTAACACCGTATGCTTGGCAAGCACTTATTCAGACTGCAAATAGATGTGCAAATCATTACATGATACTATAAATGCAACTTATGGCAACACTCGAAACGGGATGAGAATCTTAAAAAGTGTTTTAGCATTTTAGAACTTTGTTATTCTGAACATAACCTTCATTTCTAAATAAATTTGAAATTCTTTTGGTGATTTTCCAATCAATAAGTAATACAAAATGATCATACAGTTTGCGGCATTCTGTTTAAAGAACTACTCAGTTACATTTTCATTTAATGCCTTTTTAACAAAGGAAAACACTTTTTCTAATGTGACTTTGTTAGTTCTGTCTCAATTCGGTTTCCATTTTCATATGGACGCATAATTTTGATATTAAGGTTTATAGTTTGTATGTTATTTTAGATTTACTTAGTTCTATATTTTGAAATATTTTCACACCCAAGCTTAGTTTTTGAGATAGAATCATCATTACATGATATAGATTTCAGAAATTGAGAGTCGAGTGTACTAACTATCAAATAAGAGTTTGGCTGTCCTTTATCCGGCATGTTGCCTTTAGCACCTGGAACAAGCATATTCATAGCAAGTAGATATAAACAGTAAATAAGTTGTAGTGCCAGAGAACTGTATTTATTCGGGACTTGTAAAAATACAAAATAGTTGAAACTGTTATTTAAACTGTGTTTGTTAGTGATATTTTGTGAAATGCTTTCCCATACAAAGAATTAGCTTTTTTTGACACACTGGACAATAATAGCATATTCTGTAGCATTTTTTGTGAAAATATTTTCAGCCTTCTGATGGCTTTTTTAGTGTTCCATAATAAAAAACCATGTACATTCCATCATTATCATCTGTATTTAGTATTATCTGACTTAATCAAGTTATTTTGCAGACGGTCCATGTGCAGAATTCTTTTGTACGCCATCTACAAAAGAACTAATGTCGAGTTGTTGGTAAAAATAAGCTTTTGTTAAATTTAGCCGTATAAATTTAATATTGCATGTAATAACAACATGCTTCGATGAGAATGACAGGGAGCATTCTCACCTGACGACGGGGAGGCAATATGTTAATTAATATGTTTGTTAAAGTTTCTCATGGTTAATACTTTTATATTAGAGCTGTAGTTAGCACTGTTTAGCTAGAAATAATTTCTCTGTTTTGATATAGACATATAGAATGTATAGAATATGTTCATTCTTACTTTTATGGAAATTATGGATTAAATTATTAGTCATATAATTACAGAAAAATTACATATTTTAAAAGATATTTTGAAGGAAATATTTATGAAAATTGTTATAACATGCCTATATTTATGAACAAGAAAATTATTTTCCTCTGTGCATTTTTCAAACTGTCTCCAATATTTGAATCTGTTCAAGAACCTAGGAATGGGAAATTTTATTGAGTTTAACAATTATATTATTTTTATTCAACAACTTTATTTTTATCCATGAGACGGAATCATCTGGCGGGTGACACATCCCTACGGTGACCATACGTTCTTTATTTCACTGCTTTGTCCTCTAACTTTATTTATTTTATAAAATAGGCATTTTGTCCTTTATTTTGTAAATTCAATGCAAAGTTTAAAAACTTTTTTAATAATATATTGAAGAAGTTAGTTTCATGTATGCCATCACGATCAGTGTTGTCATTGTGTCCATACGTTGCTACATAGAGTGTGGTAGCGCAGTGTATCGCCAACTGAACGGCCCTTTGACAGTACCAAGGGGCAGACACTCTTATGGGGATTTTTGTGATAGTTTTTTAACTCTCTGTTTGGTGGATGATAAACTTGGAGCGTTGGTGCACATTTGTCGCCACTTGTCGACAATCTTCGGGGGCTCGAGCATGTGACATATTTACTGTTAATGTACTAAATAATTGGAACATGTGTTTTATTGAAAAAGAGGTGTTTGAATGGGTCACATTACTCAAAATTCCTTTGTGGGTGAAGGTAGAAGAAAGCTAGATTTTTATTTCGAATCATTGGTCTGTAAATATACTCGACAGTGAATTATTTGATGAAGTTGTGTGTGTAAAAAAATATGTCACAAACGAAAAGATCGACGAATGGCGACAGAATAACAAGCCCTGTCATCAAAAGTGGGTTGAGATTTTTGAACATTTTACAGCAAAAGAAATTGCTTTCAAAAACATTTGTAAAATTGTAGAATTTTCTTTGTTTCCCTGGATCTAATGCCACGTCGAACAAATATTTTCATTGGTGAATAATATGTGGACGAATGAAAAAATTCAGCTAAAAGTAAGCACATTATTTCCGTCAAATACAACTTTCAAATGAACTGTATGGAATTTCATGACTTTTTAAAGTGTGAACCAGTGCTATTAAGAAAAAATTAATTCTACTGAAAAGTATCAAAATTAATGTTATTTGAATTTTTACAATGTGTATGTATGTGTAATAAATGTTATAAACTTATGAATTCTATAAGATATTTTCTTCAATATGTCCTTTATTTTCCCCCAAAAAATATGGTCACCGTACACATCCCGTACCTGGCTTAAATTTGAGAAATCTAGATTGTTAGTTTGAAGCGTTTTGCACTTACACTCTTCAAGATTGTGCCATGGCTTGAAAGTACTAGGGACGTCACTTTGTGTGTTATTTATCATATTAAGTTTACAAATAAAGTAGAAGACAATTTAAAAATATAGATACTTTAAATATTTGGATATTCTGTATTTAGATTTAAATCAGTTTGATATTAAATATTATCATACTAATGTTAACAACCTATACATACTATATGCACACAATAACACCTTACTTGCTTATTCCAGCAATGTTTATTTTGAATTACAAATGTTAACAGCCACATTTAGATGTCATCTTCAGTTTTTGATGGAGAAAAATTACAAATAATTGAGGCTGTAGAAATATACAGAGCTAAACTAAACAGAAATTGCATCAACAATCATTACATATCCTTAGCCCAGGCTTGGCAGTGTGGCTATGTATCTGTAATTCATAACCTCAGTCACCTCTCCCTACAATATTTTCAATAGTTTGTGCTATTTTCACACTGTTATTTGTAATCTGTTAAAATTAAGGAGGTTAAGTGATGTTGGGGTTTTGTAATTTTCAAAGCACAAGAAAATGTATTGTACGTTATTGTATTATTTTTAATATTTAGTCTTATTTTAATATTAACCTCAGACTTTATTTTACAAATTTTTTGAATTAATCCATGTCGGTTAATTTACAATGTAAATTTTAAAAATCAAATCCATAATACTTGTAAAACATTTTTTTCTGTTTTTCGAATGTGCGATAAACAGAACAGCTCATTTACTTGGAAGAAGGCCTCTAAATGCAGCCAAAAACATTTGTAATTCAGAACAAATGTTGTTGGAATAAGCAAGTAAGGTGTTGTTGTGTACATATATGTTAATTTAACCCTTTCAGACCTGACAGAACTTACAAATCTCAAATTCTTTAACTGATTGTAAAAACACTTATAATGTTTATGGTTTTAGAACCTATTGGGACTAGTAAGCTCTGCATTACGTTATGTAATGGGTGGCCAAACTTTGTCACAAAAGGAGCCATACGCTTCCTATTAGAAATATACCAGCCAAGTCCTCTATTGGAGAGTCACATCCTTTATTTATAGTATTTTAAGTATATATAATATAAATATCACTGTTACTTTACTTTGTTTACCTAATTGTCATAAAGTACCAGTAATCATTTAACTCCTTTGACTTCATGAATATGACCTAAGTTTTCGATTGCCTGTTTGAGATTAAGTTGCTTGTTTCACTTACAGTTTCTGTGTATATTATGCTATGTGGTAATCAGAAAACTTACTAAAATGTTATATATTTATAAGCAGTGCATACCGAGTCCTAAAAAGAAATCGTGTATGTGAGAGCAACAGTAAGGGTTTAGAAGAGCCATGTTGCTTGTGAGCCAGTTTGGCCATCCCTGTTATATGACTAACAATTAGTGATGTGCCGGATCATTAAAAATGTATATCCGCGGATATGGATCATTAGTGTCTAGATCTGCGGATACGGATATGGATCTTAACTTTCGTACTCAGTTGGCGCCGGTGCATGTGACCTCAGACCGATAGTTGACGCTTTGCATTAGTAACGTGACGTGTTTTGACTTGCACTGTGCATGTTTTTGTTTGTAGTTTAGTGTGACACGGAATAGCGTAGATTACGTTTGTATTTTTGGAGTGTGTTGAGTTATAAATAAATAAATTCTTACTGGAAGTATTAAATAAATATAAAACAAACACCTTTCTCTATTCCAGCACACTTTTAATGCTTTGAATAACGTTTTCGATCGTTTTAATCGATCATCCTCAGTTCAAAATTCGAACTCTACAACGAACAAAGTATTCGAAAAATACAAAAAAATTTTTTTACATCGCTAATTTACGATTTAACGCTAACGCGCATGCGCATACTTATAAAACGTATAAGTTTAAATCTAAGTAATTAAAAATAACAATATTCTATATCAATTAATATTATAACAACGCCGCGTATGCGGTTGCTATATTTAATCTATGCCATCATAAAAGGACTTCCATGCTGTTGATAAACTTTCGGCGTCTCTGTAGTTGATGCACTGCGCGGTCGTATGTGCCTTGTATATTTCAACTTTTTCCAGGTGTTTCACCGCTTGTATCGATGTTGTAGGTTTAATAATCTCTGCCTGATCCCAGTATACTTCAATTCCCTGTTGCTTTGCAAACGCTGCGAGGACCGTGCTATCAAGGCTCCTATCTACTGAGTACTTGTNTTTGAATTGAAGTTATTAGTATTTTATTGCTACTTATCTTTAAAATTTCATATAAGTAATGAAATTCATTAAGATAAAAGATCCGTTAAAGATCTGCTAAAAAGTAACAGATATGGATACGAATACGGATTTTTTTTTTCTCTCAGATATCTGCGGATATGGATATCCGGCACATCACTACTAACAATATATTAATAATAATAATAGTTTAAGTTAGAACTTCTTGCAAGAGATAACTTATAGAAGTTTTGATTTATAAAAAGTTTTCTATATAAAATCTCATAAATACAGTATGAAAAATATTCTAATGAGTAAGTTAAGGCCAAGAATATTCTATTTTACAATATTGAATACCAATTTAAATTTATATTTGCAGAAAAGCATGTACTTTCCTTTATCGAAACTTCGGCGCTCGATTCTACAAATGTCGAAGCAGCTTTTCAACAAATATTAACAGGTATTTAGAAAACTGGGAACAGTTTTTTAAAATAATTATGAAGTTCTTTAAATTTTTACTTTAATTTAAAAAAAACAAAGTAGAGAATTACTTGTTTGTACAAAAGCAAAAATGTGTGTGTGTCTGTCTTGTTGGCAATATTGTTCAAAAGCAACTTCTAGTTTGCCAGTTTGTAGGTTCAAATCTTGTTTGAGCACAGCTATTTACATTTGTTGGATTTTAAAGAATTTATCATCTTCTTCGTGGTGCCATATCAGAGTTCTGACGTCAGTGACACCCAGCACAGATTAGTAAGTAGTTAATAATATGCCAAGGTGTTACTAGGGAAGGTTAGTACCCAGAGTGGTTTCCCGTTTCCTTCTCTGGGGCACGATGTTATGTGAGGGGAAAGAATGCCTTCCGGGAGGACTTTTATGAGGAACTGGCCTCCTATTTCGGCAAGGAGAAAACCCGGAAAACTCCAAGCAGCCAGCCTGTCCGATTGCGGCGCGAACCCACGACCGAACTCTCAGTGTTTAGGGTACGAAGACTGCTCGGCCACTGGTGGGCTAAAGAATTTATGGGAATGGCAATTGTAGCCATTGGAAGTAGTGGCATTATGCTTACTCAAAATTGCTTGCATTATAGTAGTAAAAACATTTAATGCTGTTGGCTGTTTTCTATAAATATTTTAGTATAATGATGGAAATTATTTGAAGTTTATCATCTTAATTTAATCAAATCAAAACCATTTATTCAGAAATATACTTATTATGACTTATCACGTTAGGAAAAAGTGTTAGCATGATGGAGTGATGTTTAGTGAATCTATGTTCACTAAACATCATTCACATTACACAGTTTGTACCATAAGAAGCTTTATATTATTCTGGAGAAGAATAATTTTCTTCTAGGACATTGTCATCTTATTTACATGTCTAGCCACCACACAAGTCTGTGATCCCATAAGATTACAATATAGTAGATGAGAAAATCTTGGAGGATGGCCTAATCTGGTGGCAAAATGTGATCGATGTAGGGGAAAAGATTGTCAAAGTTTTGGATAAAAACCAGTCTTGTGTACAAAGTGATTGTGTCACTAGGAATAAAGTTCATACGACCAACATTGCCGGGTTCTAAAATTTAAAGCTTCCAGAAAATATTGCAGATTTTAGAATTTCCCAGATTTAAAATTAATATTATATAATATAACAAATATAAAACTGACACAATTACATATACATAATAGGCATTTTAATTTGTACTATACATGTACAATATCTTGGCTATTTAATCGATATAGATATACTATGTATTCCTTACAGCTTGTGCAAACAGCATATTATGTATATGTGCCTAGAATGTTGTGCAATTTAGTTATTCACTATTCCACAGAATATATTGTGGACATTAAGCAACACCAGACTGTACTGATAAACTTTGTCATCACAACTTCTGTAACTCTGATTTGGTTAAGCAACAAATTTGTCATAATGTTAAGAGTAATGCCAATGGTATTATACCAGACATATAACATGATTTAATCTTTGGTAGATAAGTTAGTGGATTAACTGTTCATTTGACTGTCCCAATGACTGTACTAACATTTTTTGGGTTGCTTTGCTCAGAATTCAATATTGGTCTACTATGTACTAGTTACTGAATTCAACATGCAGTCTGGGTCATTAATACTAGTTTTTAGCAAACTGCCTCACTTATTATTGATATTGGAGAGTTGTCATTTTGTCATTATTTTACTTCATGCTTATATCAACTATTGTATACAAGTAATACATTCAATAAATTTTCATCAAGACACATTGTCTGCATTACTTAATGTTGAACAGAATACAATAAACCTCTCTAGTGCATTCAATAGGTAAGATCTGGACTTCAATATACAGAGAAGAAATAAATCTGGTTGATGTTTAGTTTATATTTTAAGGCAAAAATTTAGAGAAGTTATATTACCATCTTGTATTTTAATTATTTAATTTATAGGTTTTCATTGTGAATTTGAAATATATTGTACCAAGGTAAAGTTAGTTGCTTGTTATTGTAGAACAGTGTTATTCAACCTCTAGTCTGTGAAAAAAATGTCATGGGTCATTAGAAAAATATTTGACCATACTGAAGCTGGTGCAGTTGATAACGGGTGATATTTAAATAGTAATTTAAAGTTACTACAAGTAACAAAGTACTTAGAGTAACTCTGGGTAAGCATATATAAGCTTAATAAATAAGTATAATTTATAATCACACATAATTACTTGGTCCATGTAAAATTATCTATAATTTTACTGGTTTACAATGAGGAAAAGATTGAAAAACAGTGCTGTAGAAGAGTTTTAGACAGATATGTTTACATGCTCATTTCCAGTGGATAACAGCTGTAACACCCCAAGAAGTTATGGATGGAAACAAGAAAGAAGTCTGTATGTCACCAGTTCCATTTTTAGAAATTCTTGTAATTTTAATTGGATATATTTTTTGTGTTTTTTAAAAAGGACTTTTTTATTTTCTGGTGACCAGTAGCCTAAAAAGAAAAGTCAGTTGCCAAGAAAGTGTAGTCTGGAACACGAGATAAATAAATGGTGGTTCCTTTTTGGACAGACTTTGTCTTTAGAAAGATATGTTTACAATTGGCAAGAAAAAAATCCATATGGTTATACAATTCTAAATTTTGTTTAATTTAGAGAAACTTTGGTAAATTAATCTTTGACATTTATTACTAGTATTTCGGATATAAAAAAATTTATGAATCCTTCGAAATAAATAAGCTTTAATAAGTTATTGATTTTACAATGACTTCAGTATTAATTGGATAGATAAATTTAGTTTTTAAGTAATTTAAAATAACCTTGCATTCTATTTCTGTACATAAAAGTTAACGTTTTACAAATTGACATAGAAGTAAAAATTAAGCATTGTTTTTTAAGGAAGTAAAATTTTTCCTGGAAATTTAAAATATTTGGAAACAACTTTTTCAGCATAAATGATCATACAAATGATCAACTACCTTACAGACATGATGAGTTAAAGATAAATTATTGTATAAAACTGTATAGGTGACTTTAAATACAGTAGGATTACATGGATGTGTTTAAATTTATGTAAGTCAATTAATCATAGGTAATTTTATAGAAACAAATTATGCATGTCAGCAACAAACATCCTAATTGCATCAACAGACCTTTTTTCTGAAAGCATACTTTATTAAATGTGTATGGTAGTGTTTATAGAACAGTTTTATACTTGGTGTATACATATGCAAAATCAAATGTCCCTGCTTATGAAATGTCAGTACTTCGGATCTCTATTAAGTGCTATATTTCTTGGTTTTTTTCTTCATTTTTATAGAATACCCAATAAATATATCACTGCTCAGTCCTACAGAAAGAAGCATAGAAATCTCAGGAAATTTGCATATAGCAGCACTTAACCTATATATATAAAATATATCTGAAAGATTGCATTTGTTCTAGCTGTTGATAAAAGAAATGGAACAACCAAACATTATGCCAAAATTATCATGAGATGCTTTAAAAGATGGGAGAACAAAATAGTGAATGCTTATATGGAATCAGCAGGATATGCATAAATCAGAATTGGATAGAAATAAATACATGTATTATTTTGAATGCCATCTAATCCGTTTACTGAAAAAAAAAACATTGCAGCCCATTTCATTACATCAATACGTCAAAATATATCATTTCGGTAACAACAGACTTGTTGCTCACTACATGTCTGTTGTTGCTAGATGTGTGAAATTGCCACATTTGCCAACATAGCACATTCTGCTTCTGTCGCTTTTACAATAATGGAATGAACACGTGGCAAAACAATGATTAGGGGTTTAAACTGAGAGATCATTCCATCTCTGCTGCACTCGCTAGACTTGGTCTAACAGTTTTTAGTCTGTTTTGGTCTCTCTCTCAACACCCTGAAAGGGATCTACTTCTAAGAAGACTTGGAAATTTTGTGGAAGGCGACTTTGCCACTCAACCTGTGGTATTCTTCACACAAGGACTTCGTTGCTCGCCCAAACATTGAGAGAATTAAGTAACAATGGAGTGATATGTATTGATTGTTTTTTGTTTCGTGTCCATATTCCATTATTCGGAGTCAAAATCAGGCACGAATTTATGCATTAAACCAAATAATATTAAGCATCACAGTGCCAACAGTATAGAATAGTTATAATTACAATAAATGTTCTCTATGGAATGGCATGCAAAATTTGAGCTTTAAATTTTTAAAATTCTTGTATATTTTGAAGTTATATAAATTCAGAAATGACAATATCCTTTGTAAAAATCTTTGTACATCTTAAAATTGGATTTTCTTTTCGATTTTTGTTTTGTACTTTAATGATAAAACAAAAACTGATTAAAATATGTTTTTAGAAACAACCAACTGATTTATTAAAACATGATGATAAGTTAGTAATAGTAATAAGATTTTCAAAATTGAAGAATCATGGTCTAACAAAATGATTAGATAAGAAGAATGTTTTTTTTAATAGTAATGGTGTGATAAATGTATCGTATACTGTGTTGTTGATGTTGCAAAAATAAATTTCAGCTGTTGTGAAGAATGTTAATTATATTTGCCAAAGGAATGGTAACTGTTCTTAACAGAAAAAAAAACTGTCAGATAACAGAAGTTGCAACCAAAGGAGAACTTGTCTGTCTTCTGACACACATCTTCGTCACTAACCTGAGTGATTACTTTATCATTGACAATATTGATGGAGAAATCGATAATTCATTTTTTATTCCAGTACACTTTAGAAAACAAAATTTAAATATTTGTTATGAAAGTCGATTTTGGCATTACTTTTTTAGTTGTATAACACTGACATGATACTCTTTAAATGATATTCCCCTCTTTTTGTTTTTCCTCCATAAATTTCAATGCTGTTTTAATTATAAAACATCAGTTTAACAAAAATATAAATCAGACAAGCTTAACCTTTTTTTAAAATGGATAAAGGGGAAATATATATTTCTTCTCCTACTCTAACTTTTACAATAAAAAATAATATATACAACAATACTTTATTTATTATAAAACAACAAATTTTATTTAAATCTCAAAAGATTAAAAGAATTAAATGAAAAATTTTACTTACTTTTTTTGTATTTTATCATTTCAGAAATTTACCGCATCGTTTCGCAGAAGCATATCAAGAACGAAAGCGACGGAGACAATTTTCCGTCATACAACGAAGGATCGATACCGATATCTCCAACGGTGAACATAGAAACGCAGAAGAACCAGCATAAGTGTTGTCAAAATTAATTTTCTATCCCACAGAGACATTCTTCTCCATCTCTCAAAATGATTCTCAAGTGGCTGCTAACAGTGATCAAATTTGTTTCGTTGTATGGTTTACATATACATGACACATTTACTATATTATACATATATATATATATATATATATATATGAATTTTGGTAACGATTTCGTATATAAGATTATACATGGTCTTCCTTCAGATTTTACAACTATACTATACTTTTTCACTTACTGTTTTTTGTATTTATCTATGAAATTTACAGTATTAGTATCTTCACTTAACATACTGCACAATGCAGTATTTTATATTGTTAGATGAACAGACACACACACACACGCTGCTTATTTAACTAAATTCTTTTGTAGGGATGGAGAAGCAACATTCAATTCTACAGTATTGGCAAAAAAAAAAATCTTACCCATCTACAGTATTGTAAAATATTTTTGTAAACAGACTGAACAACAATTGTATTTCATTAAGACAATTCCTTATCAAATAGTAACTTAATCTCTTCCTGATTTAACCTAATGATTTTAAATACCAAATATCAAATCGTTTAGAGATAACACACTTTTATAGGTATCAAATTGAACCGAAATCCATTCCTGCAAACGACACGCCAGTCTGTGTCGCATTTTACGAATACTGGACGCATTCCAATCATCCAGGGACGACACATCTCAATTCTCCAGAATATTTATAGCGTCTAGTCACAAACCAAATGATATTCATTTTGTTGTTGTTTACTTATTAAACATTATTATTATTATTATTATTATTATTTTTTTTTTCCTCCAGTATTGTATACAAAGGGGCCAATCTTCTTGTAGACATTTAGCAATTTTGTGATTTAATTCAGATCGTATATGTATAATGGGGTACGTGTTCTGTTCAATAAAATCATTTTTTTTTTTTCGACATTAATTCGGTTAATTGTTTCCGCTGTTTTAATGACGATAAAAGTAGGTTTTGATAGTGATACATATTAACACACTAATATTCAAATTCTGCATTAAGTTGTAAATGTTAAAGTACTTGTTAATAGAATATCAATTAAAAATTCATACTATTTCCAAGTTCTTGCAATTCTGATTTCTTAAAGTCCTTTATGCTATTAAGAAACCTCAAAAAATCTCAGGGGATACATATATTGAGTCTGCAATATATGGTTTCTCCATCACATATTCAAGACAATATACTGTGTATTTTATATGTAATCTTGAATATATTCAGTAAATAAGTTTGAATAATTAAGATTTAAAAACTTTAAATTAAAAAAAAATAAAAACAATGCAACAAAACATTTTATTTGTATAACTTTTAGATCATTAGAAAATCTAGAGTCACGGCAGTGACTCAGCGCCAAGTAAAGGTGCTGATTGATTACATATATACAGCAATCGGGTTGGATATTTTCGGGGTTCGGTTTCTCTGTCCCCTAAACGTCTATAGTAATTCTGAATATTTCGTTCGAAAGATAATTGTTTTCTTGGGTAGTGTGCAAAATTTCAGATTTTTGTATGGAGGGGTTGCCGAAATATAAGCAATTGAAAAGCTGTGTTTTCTTCTTCATCCGGCACTGCAGGCGCTCCTACAGANAGTAATATTAAACAAAATTTTCAAAGTACTTCGTTTAAATCCTAGTACTTTTTGGCCTGTCCCAAAGTATCAAAGTTGTCATGATGGAAATATTAAGTGTTCAAATGTTAAAATACTGTAATTTGTAATTTGGTCAAGGAGTGCATGTTGGCATAAAGTCTGCCACTCTGACTTCTCAACTGACTTTCATAATTACTAGTTGTTAGGTGGTTTATAAATTTAGTAAGTTGAAAAGAATTATATGAATATAAAGTTAAATAATCTAACAGCCCAATGCTAATGAACTTTGAAATTGAAATTGTCAACAAATTTTATTTGTTTTGAATTTAAATTTTAACCCTTTCAGACCTGACAGAACTTACAAATCTCAAATTCTTTAACTGATTGTAAAAACACTTACAAAATGTTTACCTAATGTTTATGGTTTTAGAACCTATTGGAACTAGTAAGCTCTGCGTTACATTATGTAACGGATGGCCAAACTTTGTCACAAAAGGAGCCATACGCTTCCTATTAGAAATATACCAGCCAAGTCCTCTATTGGAGAGTCACATCTTTTATTTATAGTATTTTAAGTATATGTAATATAAATATCACTGTTACTTTACTTTGTTTACCTAATTGTCATAAAGTACCAGTAATCGTTTAACTCCTTTGACTTCATGAATATGACCTAAGCTTTCAATTGCCTGTTTGAGATTAAGTTGCATGTTTCACTTACAGTTTCTGTGTATATTATGCTATGTGATAATCAGAAAATTTACTAAAATATTATATATTTATAAGCAGTACATACGGAGTCCTAAAAAGAAATCGTGTATATGGGAGCAACAGTAAGGGTCTAGAAGAGTCATGTTGCTTGTGATCCAGTTTGGCCATCCCTGTTATATGACTAACAATTAGTGATGTGCCAGATTGTTAAAAATGTATATTTGCGGATACGGATATGGATCTCAACTTTCATACTCAATCGGCGTCGGTGCGTGTGACCTGGGACCGATTGTTGACGCTTTGCGTTAGTAACGCGACATATTTTGACTTGCACTGCACATGTTTTTGTTTATATTTAGTGTGACACGGAATAGCATAGATTACGTTTGTATTTTTGGAGAGTGCTGAGTTAAATTAAAATAAAAACAATGTAGACAAAAAAGTTTAGTAGTGTAATATGGAAATATTTTACGATAGTAAATTAATTTTGCATGATAAAATTTTAGCAATGTGAATGTGCCAAAAATGTGATTTTAAGAAATAAAAAGTGATTTGAATTGAAGTTATTAGTATTTTATTGCTACTTATCTTTAAAATTTCATATAAGTAATGAAATTCATTAAGATAAAAGATCTGTTAAAGATCCGCTAAAAAGTAACGGATANGTAATTTAAAGTTACTACAAGTAACAAAGTACTTAGAGTAACTCTGGGTAAGCATATATAAGCTTAATAAATAAGTATAATTTATAATCACACATAATTACTTGGTCCATGTAAAATTATCTATAATTTTACTGGTTTACAATGAGGAAAAGATTGAAAAACAGTGCTGTAGAAGAGTTTTAGACAGATATGTTTACATGCTCATTTCCAGTGGATAACAGCTGTAACACCCCAAGAAGTTATGGATGGAAACAAGAAAGAAGTCTGTATGTCACCAGTTCCATTTTTAGAAATTCTTGTAATTTTAATTGGATATATTTTTTGTGTTTTTTAAAAAGGACTTTTTTATTTTCTGGTGACCAGTAGCCTAAAAAGAAAAGTCAGTTGCCAAGAAAGTGTAGTCTGGAACACGAGATAAATAAATGGTGGTTCCTTTTTGGACAGACTTTGTCTTTAGAAAGATATGTTTACAATTGGCAAGAAAAAAATCCATATGGTTATACAATTCTAAATTTTGTTTAATTTAGAGAAACTTTGGTAAATTAATCTTTGACATTTATTACTAGTATTTCGGATATAAAAAAATTTATGAATCCTTCGAAATAAATAAGCTTTAATAAGTTATTGATTTTACAATGACTTCAGTATTAATTGGATAGATAAATTTAGTTTTTAAGTAATTTAAAATAACCTTGCATTCTATTTCTGTACATAAAAGTTAACGTTTTACAAATTGACATAGAAGTAAAAATTAAGCATTGTTTTTTAAGGAAGTAAAATTTTTCCTGGAAATTTAAAATATTTGGAAACAACTTTTTCAGCATAAATGATCATACAAATGATCAACTACCTTACAGACATGATGAGTTAAAGATAAATTATTGTATAAAACTGTATAGGTGACTTTAAATACAGTAGGATTACATGGATGTGTTTAAATTTATGTAAGTCAATTAATCATAGGTAATTTTATAGAAACAAATTATGCATGTCAGCAACAAACATCCTAATTGCATCAACAGACCTTTTTTCTGAAAGCATACTTTATTAAATGTGTATGGTAGTGTTTATAGAACAGTTTTATACTTGGTGTATACATATGCAAAATCAAATGTCCCTGCTTATGAAATGTCAGTACTTCGGATCTCTATTAAGTGCTATATTTCTTGGTTTTTTTCTTCATTTTTATAGAATACCCAATAAATATATCACTGCTCAGTCCTACAGAAAGAAGCATAGAAATCTCAGGAAATTTGCATATAGCAGCACTTAACCTATATATATATAAAATATATCTGAAAGATTGCATTTGTTCTAGCTGTTGATAAAAGAAATGGAACAACCAAACATTATGCCAAAATTATCATGAGATGCTTTAAAAGATGGGAGAACAAAATAGTGAATGCTTATATGGAATCAGCAGGATATGCATAAATCAGAATTGGATAGAAATAAATACATGTATTATTTTGAATGCCATCTAATCCGTTTACTGAAAAAAAAAACATTGCAGCCCATTTCATTACATCAATACGTCAAAATATATCATTTCGGTAACAACAGACTTGTTGCTCACTACATGTCTGTTGTTGCTAGATGTGTGAAATTGCCACATTTGCCAACATAGCACATTCTGCTTCTGTCGCTTTTACAATAATGGAATGAACACGTGGCAAAACAATGATTAGGGGTTTAAACTGAGAGATCATTCCATCTCTGCTGCACTCGCTAGACTTGGTCTAACAGTTTTTAGTCTGTTTTGGTCTCTCTCTCAACACCCTGAAAGGGATCTACTTCTAAGAAGACTTGGAAATTTTGTGGAAGGCGACTTTGCCACTCAACCTGTGGTATTCTTCACACAAGGACTTCGTTGCTCGCCCAAACATTGAGAGAATTAAGTAACAATGGAGTGATATGTATTGATTGTTTTTTGTTTCGTGTCCATATTCCATTATTCGGAGTCAAAATCAGGCACGAATTTATGCATTAAACCAAATAATATTAAGCATCACAGTGCCAACAGTATAGAATAGTTATAATTACAATAAATGTTCTCTATGGAATGGCATGCAAAATTTGAGCTTTAAATTTTTAAAATTCTTGTATATTTTGAAGTTATATAAATTCAGAAATGACAATATCCTTTGTAAAAATCTTTGTACATCTTAAAATTGGATTTTCTTTTCGATTTTTGTTTTGTACTTTAATGATAAAACAAAAACTGATTAAAATATGTTTTTAGAAACAACCAACTGATTTATTAAAACATGATGATAAGTTAGTAATAGTAATAAGATTTTCAAAATTGAAGAATCATGGTCTAACAAAATGATTAGATAAGAAGAATGTTTTTTTTAATAGTAATGGTGTGATAAATGTATCGTATACTGTGTTGTTGATGTTGCAAAAATAAATTTCAGCTGTTGTGAAGAATGTTAATTATATTTGCCAAAGGAATGGTAACTGTTCTTAACAGAAAAAAAAACTGTCAGATAACAGAAGTTGCAACCAAAGGAGAACTTGTCTGTCTTCTGACACACATCTTCGTCACTAACCTGAGTGATTACTTTATCATTGACAATATTGATGGAGAAATCGATAATTCATTTTTTATTCCAGTACACTTTAGAAAACAAAATTTAAATATTTGTTATGAAAGTCGATTTTGGCATTACTTTTTTAGTTGTATAACACTGACATGATACTCTTTAAATGATATTCCCCTCTTTTTGTTTTTCCTCCATAAATTTCAATGCTGTTTTAATTATAAAACATCAGTTTAACAAAAATATAAATCAGACAAGCTTAACCTTTTTTTAAAATGGATAAAGGGGAAATATATATTTCTTCTCCTACTCTAACTTTTACAATAAAAAATAATATATACAACAATACTTTATTTATTATAAAACAACAAATTTTATTTAAATCTCAAAAGATTAAAAGAAT